GAAACCACCGGCACCAGCAACTCCTCCTTGACCACCAGTTCCTCCCAATCCAGTACTGCTCGTTGTAGTTGTTATTGTCGCTGATCCGACCAATCCACCAAAACCACCCCCTGGACCATTAGGACCAGTTAAACCATTACCAGGATTGGTTGTTGTAGTTGTTGTTGTCGTTGGTCCTCCGAAACCGCCAAGACCACCACCTGGACCATTAGGACCAGTGAAGCCAATAACACTGCTACTACNATGGAGTGGGATGTGCTAATGGAAGTAAATACACTAGAAGTACTGCTTGTTGATGTTGTTCTTGTTGAACTTCCTTGACTGGTACTGCTACTGTGGATGATACTAGACATGGATTGGGACGTGCTACTGGAAGTAAATACACTAGAAGCACTGCTTGTTGAAGTTGTTCTTGTTGAACTTCCTTGACTGGTACTGCCACTGTGGATGATACTAGACATGGATTGCGATGTGCTGATGGAAGTGAGTGTACTAGAAACCGACAAGCTGGATACGCTGCTAGTTGTTCTGGATCTAGATCCAGTTACAGTTGTGTTAGTTCCTGTTGAGCTTCTATTTGAGGTTGATTGGGTGGTGCTCGAAGGTGTAGCGAGAATAACCGTGGTAGAACTGGAAAGGATGGATGATACCAATGTTGAATTGTGTTGTGAAATTGCAGACACTGCTGTGGGTTGAGATACAGTAGATTGTAACATACTTGAACTAGATGTTATTCTGGATGAAGACAAGATGCTTACTGCTGTTGAAGTACCAGTAGATTGGGAAAGATGAGTGGTTGCGGTATTCGTACTTCTAAGACTGGATAGGCTGGAGGTTGAGTTCACTTGGCTTGAATGGAAGGAGGTAGAAGGTCTAGTTTGAGTAGAATTTTGAATCAATAATGAGCTGAATGTTGAGATTCCGGATGAGGATGATCTCTGGGAAGTTTGGATAGTGGTCAGCTTAGTGTTTGAAGTAGTCGAGCTTTGTTTGACTGAACTACTTGTCACACTTCGATTAGTGGTATGTTGGGAAGCAGTCACAGATTTGGTTGTAACCACGGTCTTTGCTGTTGACAAAAGAGTGCTTGCTTTTGTGGAGGTTGTGTTGTAACCTAGGTTGGTGCTAAAGCGCATAGTTGCTACCGGCTTTACAGCTTCGGATTGAACAGTAGTTAAATGTGTGTTTGCATTTGAAGAAGACGATGTGCTTGTGCTGGTTGTAGTGGTGCTTGAAAGCATCTCTTGCAATGTGGAATGGACCGAGGACGATTCTGAAGTCGAAGCTTTAGTAATGGGAGTTGGCTTTATAGTAATCGTAGGTGCTGGAACTATATTAACATTAGGTGAAGCAACCGGATTCCCAACCGAATTTGTATAACCAGATACTGGGTGTGTGGTTTGAACAGTGCTGTCAGTATGGGAGATCAAATAATCATATGTAGTCAAAAATATGGTGGTTGTACCAGACAAGGTTACGGTCACTTGAACAACTTTACCAGCAGATGTACTTTCAGCATTTGAATAGGTTGAGTTGATGTATAAGGGAAGAACCAGATGAGTGGTGTTCACATATCTGGCCGGAGCCAGGTATGTTGAGTTTATATGTAAGCTAGTCTCGTTTGTGAAACTGTGAGAAGTCTCCAAGGGGTAAGTGCTTTCAAGAACAGTGGTTGACAAATTTGTCCTCTCTGTTGATGAATTGGAGGATGTTAACATGCGGATTGGTTTTCCTGTGGCAATAGATACCATACATAATAAGTAGAGAATTATTACCATTTTGTTTGTGTCCTGGTGAAACTGACTTCAAACTACTCATCCAGGTTGGAGAATTTATCTACTTATATACCATTTCCTTCATGTCTTAGATTCTGTTATACACCAACAATAATGGCGTAAAGTCTGTTATAATCCAATTATAATTAATGTTACTGTAGTGCTATAAATAGATTACGAAAACCACCCCTCCCCCATAAAAAAAATATTTTGTATTGGTCTTTCGTCTAAACCCATGCCCCTTGTCTAGAATGCTCTACATTATCTCCAATTGACTCAGAAGAATTGTTGTTAGGGATTAGCCAAATCGAGGCTACGGTCGAATACTCTGCCTTGTTGGCAAATCAGAATTCTGATCTATTTTGATTGCAAAGTAGAATTCTAATCTATTTTGCGTTAGATGGAAACTAAGATCCAGTCAGTGCGATAATAAATATATCGGAAAAGTGAGATATATCATGATGATCCCGTAAGTATTAGGTAGATGCTTATGCCTATTGATGTACCAATTCAGAATTCGATCGATATGGTTCCTTGTTTGGAGGGGCGGTTGCAACATCTTTTTTTTTCTCATCCAAGCAATTCCCAATCGCAAAAAAGAAACTGTTTTAAAAAAGAAACTGTCTTGCAGTCATTTTTTTTCCAGCCTTGTTTCCAAGGCTTTAGTAGACGTTTTTTTTTAGTTTTTATTGTTTAGACGTTAGCCTTGTCTTAAGAATAGACACAAACAAATAGGATAAAATGTAAACTATGCTACTTTTAGTGGAGTGTTTGGTTTGTGCTCTGACTCCTTACTACCATTTTCTGTTAGCAGAGCTACCATCTGTCATTTTAATTGCAAAATTCGCTCTTGGCTTTCTTAAGAAATCCAGCTGTCACAGTTTAAACTACAAAGATTTAAATGTGTATATGCAGGCGTAAAGGGAAAGTGCTTCACTTAATCTTTACTCTCTGATGGCGTATATGTAATGGTGCTGATATTGGGGGATATGTGATAAATGTAGATGATGTCGAAGTAGTTAATTCGCCACTAACGGCCTAACCATACCGATGGTCAGACTTAAGACTTTTGATATTTGCTCTCTTATTAAATCGTTCGAAACGTAATTTATTGATAATAAACAAAACTATAAAAACATATAAAACAGAAGAAATGTAGCTTGTTAAATACCAAGCATACTTTAAACAATTAACCTCAAATTACCATATTTGCAATACAATTATAATTCCACAATATTATTTATATAAAACTTGTAACAATGACACTTGATTACACTTGACTCAAATCGCTCATATTCTAAAGTAACGACATCCATGTCGTGATGTTGCAGAACTGACTTTTATATAGGCAAACGTCGTAAGTGCAGTCAGTACTGTGACACCAGCATATGGCTGACGTTCAACCATATTGCCTCGAGATATAAGGGCCCGCCATATAGAAATTTTCAAATATGTGGTATAGTCCTTTGCCTCTACCTTGTTCTTGAAACGGAGATAAAGCGGTAGAGCTAATAAGTGTCTTCATTACATTTCATAAGAACTTTCTACAAGAACTGTTATAAATTAGTATTCTCTAAATATGTATTGCAAATAAATTAATTATTTCTAAAACTAAACAAAAACACACTATACAAAATCAAAAAACAACAAATCTATAACATAACCAAAGGAATGAATGAAATAACAATATAAAAACCAGCAAAATAACGAGCGGAACCACCTGTATGTGGTTCTATTGTGGGTGAAACTTTGTCAACTGAAATTGAAGTGGCGGGTGAGTCATTCGAAGGGGCGACCAGTTGCAGTCCATCCGGGTTTGAGCTATCATCTCTAGTATTTATACCTCTTTTTTGTGGCCCTTGACCATCGGTGCCAATTAACGTAATTACATTTCCACCATTTCCTCCCATACCACCTTGGCCTACACTGAGAATTTGATCACCTGCTGCACATGTTATCGCAACTCCCCCATTTCCAAATAAACCTCCACCGCTGGTTCCTTCAGTTATCGTAGTACAACCAGTACCACCCCCGGCACCAGCAGCTCCTCCATATCCACCAGTTCCTCCCAATCCAGTAGATTGAGTCATTATAGTCGTTGGTGTGAAACCACCGGCACCAGCAACTCCTCCTTGACCACCAGTTCCTCCCAATCCAGTA